CGACTCAGGCCTATTTGACCCTGATGGACCCCGCCCCGGCTGACCTGGAAATAGTAGCAATCCCCGTCAAACACACTCTCCTTGAGGCCCAAACTTGTCACAGTGCTCCAGCGACAGAACTCAGTGGAGGCTGACGCTCTGTAGAGACTCACCCAGAGATTTAGGGCTCCTACTGGACACAACATTGTGCTTGTGACTTACACTCACATGCACAGCAAACCAGCCGGCATGACTACTTCTTGTGTGTCAGGATGAGGCTGCCCTTTTACTTTGCTGTTGAGTGTCGTGGAGTCTGTTCTGACGTCCCACAGGGGAAAACACAGCCCGGAAAGGAGCCGTCCTCACTTGTTGTTTGGACCGGTGGTTGTGGCCACCATGTCAGACCACCTTCTTAGGGTCTTTGCTTTTCTCAATGTTCCCTGTTGATAACACACCCAAAGCACTGAGACTCTTCCCTTCTAAGCAGCATTCTGCCGTCTTCCTAACAAGGCAGATTTACACCACGTGCCCCACCTCACTCCCTGGGGTTGCTTCAACAGTGTTCAACAGGCTGCCCAGCCGCCCCACTTGTCAGAGTGAAATTATGCTCCAGAAGGTTTGCAAATGGCTTTTAAGATGTAGAGCACCAACCCTTCCTGCAGTTGCTGCCTCTGGGTGGACTTGAACCTCCAACCTTCCCGTTAGAAGCCAAGGCGTGATAACTTTCCCGTTGGTTGCCTCACGCCTCCTGTTTGTGTGAGACCCTGCGTCCGCAGCTCACAGAAGACTCCCGGCCCAGTATCTGGGACTTACCGAGCCCCTAGAACCCTTTTCCCTTGGAACCTCAGGCAACCCGAGGAGTCTTAGAGGGAACACAGGCCTGGGAGTGAGGAGTCCTGGGTCAAAGTCAGAACTCTGACACTTCCTGGCAGTGATGTTGGACTAGTCCGCTCTTTTCAGGCCCCCACCCCTGTCTGATAAACAATTCCTGCCTGGTTACATCCTAAGGCCATGCGAGCACCACTGGAGGTGATTTGTAAACAGGCACTCTCAACAGACAAGGGGGTGAAGGGAGCAGGGAGAGTGGGCCTCGCCTGCGGGGGTGGGGGTGGGGGGTGGCTCTTCAGGAGACCTGGGCTCTGTGAAATGGGAGCCCTTCCCTGGGCTTCTTCAGGTCACTGCAGTGGGTGAGACTTCAGTTCTGGGAGGCCTGCTTCTCTGCAGAAGCACTCTGAACCCTGCCCTAGCCAGCGTGCTGAAGTGTTTCTGGGGATGTTGGGGACCGCAACCCCATTTCACTCAACATTGTACCGAGGTACTGGCCATCTGCTGTGTCTGGGTGTGCAAGGAAGGGTGTGAAACCAGAGGACTCTGGACATGGGAACAGCAAGGGGCTGTTCCCCCTGAGGGACCCTGAGAAGGCTCCCTAGTGCCAGAGGTGTTACCCGAGGGTGCAAATGAGGGAGACCTGGCGCAAATGAGGGAGACCTGGCGCATGGCAGAGCAGCAGAGTTAAGACTGGAAAGGTCAGGTGGCAGGGCTGATTGGGTGCATCATGACTGTCAGAAGCGAGCCCCTGCCATCTAATTAGTGCACGAGGAGTAGACCAGACCCGGGCTCCCAGGACAGTGACAAGGCCAGGCTGGTTTGGCAAGATTAATTGGGCAGTGGTCGGGAAAGCATTGACCTGAAAACCATGTTTGCCCTGTCCTGTGTGTATTCCTTTTCGGATGTATCCTTTGGAAAGGAAGTTTCACAGCGAGTTGGAAAGCATGGGTAATTAATGTCAGGGCGTGGTCTTGCGGGGGTAGGGGTGGGGGTCAGGGGTGTAGGCTGGTGGAACCTGGAAAGGAGGGCGAGGTTGACCTTCAGCCCTCATTTGGGGCCAGACACAAAGTGGGAGAGACCCCAGGCCGGCAGGACACTTGTTTCTGGGGCTGGGCCAGTCAGGACCTTTGGTGCAGTGGGCCACAGGCAGAGGTCTGGACCCCTCAGGCTCTGGGCTCTGGTCAGAGACGCGCACCCCCCTCCAAGCCCTTCATTTGGCTCTTCATACCCTCTGTGGCTTGTTTCAGGACTCCTCCCTGAGTCAGCCTGTCTGTCTGTCACGCCTGTGTGACCTTCTAGTGGCCCTCCTGAGCCAGCCCCTCGAGTCACTCTTGCTAGCTCCGGCCTCTTCCGCGGCGGCAGTTGCCGGATGAACATGTTCTAACCTCCTCCATCACCCCCACCCCCCCTGCAGTCTCTCAGCGTTCAGCAGATCCCTGTGCCCCTCGCACCTTCCCGGACGACCCTGGCAAAGTTGCTGGCTGTGCCTCTGCTCTTCCCAGGGGCCTTCCGCCCTGGTGACCGCGTTTCTCAGCCCGCCCCTCGCTCTGGGCACAGCTCCCCCCCCCCCCAGTCAGACAGCAGGTGAGGAGCTGATGGAGGAGCTTTCCAAAGGGAGGGGCTGGGTTCTTGGGGAAAGGACAGTGCTGCTCATGGATCTCTGCTAACGTGCCCCTACCTCCCCCAAAATGCTTTCTAGAAAGTTGGCCCGAGCCCTTCTGCCCACATCTGTGGGGTTAAAGGGAAGAGGGAACCCCACAAAACATCACAGGTTCGGTAGGCGCAATTGTACAACGATAATAAGTAGAGATTATAGTAAAGTCATAGAGAGCATGAGAGTTAAAGGATGGAGTCAAGTAATGGAGTCAGACGCAATTCATGGTAGCATCGCTCACCTCAGCCCCGCTTGATGGTCCTCGTGGAGGGGGCTTAGCCGTCAGAGAAGAAGCCGCTGCTTTGTCCTCCTTAGCCACCTTCTCCAGCCACCCTTGGCCAGCCACCCTCCCGAGAACCAGGGAGCCTCCTTATTTATTGCTAACCACGCATCATATTACTTTAGGGGGATACATCACAGCAGTATGCGTCACAGAGAAGGGCAGTACAATTCATCCTTGAACAGGTTTGATCATTCTGGTGTCTCATACAATAAAGCAGGCAATTACCATCCTGGGAGACATGCAAGCCCCCTGATAGCAGATAACAACCTACGTCATAGAGAGGGGTTGTAACATAGGCAATACAAGCAATAGGAGGGGGATGACCTAGGGGTGAACGTTCAATAGTAAGAGGAGGGAATAGGGGGGCATGTGTGGCAAGATAGTAGCCTAAGCTTAGTCATCTTAGAGTGGTCCCGGGCTTGCCTATGGGCACTGCTGTGAGGGAACAGTAACAGAAGGGAATGGGCCCTATTTGAGGTGAGTCAGACTATACAGTCTGGCCGCTCTAGATGGCTGATGTTAGGGAGAATAACCTCTGGCCTATTTTCGCTGCCTAATGAACAGTCATTTTCAAGCTAAGTCTGGCATACGTTTTGGGGAGACAACTTAAGAGAAATCCTTCTGTTCCTCACACACCACCTTATTTTCAATGACCATGGGGTCTCAGCTCACCCCAGAGCCCAGATGA